GCACAGTGCCTTTGCGCGGAGTTGGGCACGCCTGTGGCTCCCTCGAAGACGAGGAGGATGAGCCCGTCCGGCGATTTTCTGGGCGTCGTGCACACCTTCGGCCCTTCGCTGGACTCGAATGTCATATCTTTCAGGGCGCGCGACACTCTCGTCGAAAAGGCGAAGACGTTCAGTGCGGCGAGGCGCAGCGAGGGCAGGCTCACGCCCGGAGACGCCAGCAAGTTGAGAGGCCTCCTCAACTTCATCGCCAGAGCGGCGTGGCACGGCGTGGGCAAAGCAGGCATGGGGGCTCTGAGGCAACGGCAGTACACAGATCAGCCGCCTGGGACCCTGAGCAACTGCCTGGTGCGCGCCCTCGATTTCTTTTATATAATTCTGCAAGACATGCCGAGCCGCGTGGCCGAGATCGCGCCGAGAAGCGAGCCTTTGATTCTCATTGCGTCTGACGCGCGCGCTGACAATGACGCGTGGCCGACAGGGGGGTACGTGTTGTTAGATTGCGCCGACGGCTATCGGCAAGCTGGCTTCTGCGTTTTTGACGGGGCTCTGCTGGGCATGTGGGGCTACTGTGAGGATCGCTTGAGGCAGGGCGGCCAGCCCATCGCGCTGTGTGAGGGCGCGATGCCGCCCATCATCTACCAGCGCCACGCTAAGCGGCTGGCAAACCGCCGCGTGCTGTATTTCATAGACAAGACCAGCTCTCTGCATTCGTACGTCAAGGGCTGCGCGGTGCCGGCCGCGCTGGATCGGTCGATTGCTTTCACTAATTTCTTGGCGAGCCGCCGTTCGATCACCACGGGGTGGGAATTCACGCCTTCGGGGACCAATTGGTCGGACGGGATTTCGAGGCAGCTAGGAAGTGACGCGTTTGTGAGGCGACATCGATTTCCAGCAAAGCGAATCGGCGTGGACAGTCGTAATTGGACGGGCAGCTTGGAGAGCGCATGGCGCTTCGCCCGCGGGTAGCCCCCACGTGTGGCTGCGACGCGCCGTTATACATTGTGTTGCTCGGTAAGTGAACAGCGTTGGGTGAGCGAGCGGGGCGTGGGGGTGAGCAGCGTTGGGGGGATCGGCCAGAGGGATGCATCGCCCCTCGGTCGGTCGGCCTCCCGTCAAGGGGATACATCCCTCCTTGGGGGAGAGCGGCTCCAGCCGCCCCAATGTTGTTCCCTATGGAAACCCCGCCTCTCTCACCTTAACGCTTAACTTTTCACTCCACCAGCAAAAACAATGCTTTTTGTCCCATCGGACCCCAGTCTAGAGTAAGCTAAGGTGGGCGCGTAGATTATGGGTGCACTTTAGGCCCGGGCAGGCATGGGTGAGTGCTTCATAATGTACGCGCGCGGACACCTTGGAAACGCCGCCCGCGCATGCAGCTCGGGGCGCAGGGGCGAAGAGAGGGGGGGGGCGCCCCCCCCCTTCGCTGCCCGCGCCAAGGGGCTGCGAGGAAGGGGGGCGACGGGCCGCGGTGGCCGCGCTCACCTTGCGATTTGATTTTTCCCACCCTCCCGCCCTGGGTTTGCATTCAGCAAGCTGGGGGGGGGCCAAGAGGGTAAGCGAAGCGACGAAGCCTCGAGCGCGACACTTCGCGCATGAGGGATTCATCTCCCCTCCGTGGTTGGTCGCGCATGAGGGAGGCATTTCCCCTCTGTTACAAGGGGGGGGATCGGCCAGAGGGATGCATCGCCCCTCGGTCGGTCGGCCTCCCGTCAAGGGGATGCATCCCTCCTTGGGGGAGAGCGGCTCCAGCCGCCCCAATGTTGTTCCCTATGGAAACCCGCTCTCTCTCACCTTAAACCTTACGTTCACTCCAACCAGCAAAAAACAATGCTTTTGGTCCCTCGGACCCAGTCTAGTAGCTAAGGTGGGCGCGTAGATTATGGTTTCCGGCCCCGCCGCGGCACCAGCGAAACGCTATTTCTGGCGCGCCGGCCGATCGACGCCACATTGGAGGATACAGATGGCAAACTATTGCCCCTGCTTCTTGAATGGAGCAAAGCGTTCGACCGCAACAGCCCCACAGGACTTGTCCACGCACTACAAGACTTCCGCGTCCCACCAGCAATGGTCGAGATGATCAAGGGCATCTACAAAATACGCAAATTCGTCGTGTAAGACGCAGACACGACGTCATCACAGAGAGCACAGTCCGCTGGATTCGCACCGCTTTCGCCATATTTGTTTATAGTTGTTATGTCAGTATTACTGGAAACTGTTGACAAGCGTTTGGCACTGGAGAAACCAAAATCGGGATGCCCAACCAAACCTGGTCACTGAAGACGCGCTGCACGCAAACGACACCACGCTGCTCTCCAGGGACCCCGACACGCTCCAAACACATTTAAATTTGGTGGTTGCGGTTGGACAAACTTTCGGGCTGGAACTCAACTCCGGGAAAACAATTTTATAGCTAATACAGACAAGCGCAATGATTGTTGGACCAGATGGTGAACCAATACAGTGCAAAAGGAGTGCAGTATATCTTGGGGGCCTCTTGAGTGTCGACGGAACCCTCGCGCGGAGCTCACGCGAAGATTTGGCGAAGCCAAAGGCGCATTTCAAAAGCTGTGCTTGGTTTGGAACCGCGCCAATCTGAGCAAAACCCAGAAGCATCGCACATTGGAAGCGCGCGTCTGTTCTAAAGTTCTATATGGGCTGGAATTGTGCATGCTCTTGAAAGTGGACAGAGACAGACTCCATGGATTCCAGGCGAGGTGTCTGCGGAAGATACACAATATGTTGCCAGCGTTTGTATCCAGAGTGAGCAACGCAGAAGTTCGGGGACTCGCCAGCATCGGACCGTTATCATTATCTTTTTTGGAAAGGCAGCTGAATTTGTATTGTAAATTTGCCCGGGACGCTCCAAAGAGCCCCCCTCAAGCAACTGTTTTCGAACGTTGCCAGTCTTGCCAGGTGGCGCCGCGGAAATGGAATATTCGACGCTCGCGAGGGCTGCCTCGATCACAGCGGGCGTCTTACTTACGCGCGCAAGCCCTGGCCGTAGCAGGAGGTGACCGCGACAGGCTGCAAACCCTATTGCAAAACCCCTCACAGTGGCACTCGGCTGTGGCGCAACACTGTTCAGTCTAGTCTCGCTCTTCCCTCCCCGTCCCCCTTCCTCCTCCTCTCCTCCTCCTCCTTGGCCTCCTTTGCAACGGGATGTCCGCGGTAGCTGCGCAGTTCTCCCTCGCACCACGCTGGAACAAAGCAGCCGGCGTGGAAAATCCGATGCGCTGCGGTAGCATATTTTTTCCCCCACGCGCATGTGCTACTCGTCTTTGCCAATGCGCCGTTTGGGCACGGTTTCTGTCTGTCTGTCTGTCTGTCTGTCTGTCTGTCTGTCTGTCTGTATTCACACGGTCTGTGGCTCCACAGGGAGCTCCACCGAAGGCCCCAGCGGCACAGGCTGCATGCGGGGACCGCCACCCATTAGGCACGCCCTTCACGGTTCGTGGCCCCACAGAGAGCTCCACCGAAGGCCCCGGTGGCACAGGCCGCACGCGGGGACCGCCGCCCTTTTTGGCACACCCCTCACACGGTTCGTGGCCCCACGGGAAGCTTCACCGGAGGCTCCAGTGGCACAGGCCGCATGCGGGGACCGCCACCCCTTTTTGGCACACCCCTCACACGGTTCGTGGCCCCACGGGGGGCTCCACCGAAGGCCCCAGTGGCGCAGGCCGCATGCGGGGATAACTACAAATTTTGGCACACGTCTTACGCGGTCCGTGGGCCCACAGGGAGCTCCACCGAAAGCGGTACCCACAATGCGGCATTCGCAGTTGCGTATTGCTGGGTCCTTCCTCAGGCTAATTTTTTGTCAGGGATGGTACCCCTGCCCACAGCAGGCAATATGCTGACGCCCCCGCCGTCGGTGTCACAAAACAATTCAAAATGCTCGCGGGCCTCACGAACATGACTCCGGACTTTGCCCCGGAGTGTGTATAGTTTCTGACAGACGGTAGGGGGGTGCCCGCGTCGGGTTGGTTGCGCATGCTCCGAATTTGGAGGCAGAGTGTGTTTCGCATTTTTTGACAAGGATGGTTTGGGGGGTGATCATTGGGTCCCCATTGTTCCTAGATGGCTGCCTGTCGCCTGGGGAGGGGGTGTATATTAATAGGGGGAAGTGATAAACCCATACCCTAAGAGAAGAAGGGGGGGTGGAAAAAGAAGCGCCCTGACCATTCACGCCCAGAGGACTGGTGGGCTTCCGCGTCAGACACAGTAACAGTGCCTCGCCGAGATTCCATATCTTATGTAGACCTCGTGGGCCCCTGCCAAGATTTCGGCAGGGGGGGGGTCGTCGTGAGAGGCTCCAGAAAGTTGGGCTCGGCCCTGGGGAACCTCCCCGAGACCGAGACCGACCGCGCACAGCCGACCGTGGCTCCTCTGCCAACCACCTCCCCCTCCTGCCTCCTACCTTCTCCTCCTCCTCCTCCTCCTCCTCCTCCTCCTCCTCCTCCTCCTCCTCCTCCTCCTCCTCTTCCTTCTCTTTCATCTCCTTCTCCATGTCATCCCAATGCACGCTGGCCTCACGGGCGTCGTTTCCCCTACTCCAGTCCAAGTAGTCAAGATGACGCATGCGGACAACATTGCGCCAAATAAAGGTTTATATGTGTTGAGCAAGTGCGGGCCAGTTCGAGGAGAGACACCGATGTTCAAACTGTACCGCTTTGAATTCACGGAGTCAATTTCCAGTCCCCAGCTAGTATCCACATCGCTTGAGGAGGTCTCAGGCAACATCCCGATTTGAAAGTCATCCGCCCCCAGCTTGTACAATTACACATTGCAGTGTTTGACATACAAAAGTGCAAACAAGTTTCAAGCTAAACGTCAGGACCGCCCCAAGGATCTGTCTGGTGTGGCGCCGAGGAGGATGAATTCATATGGGGGAAGGAATCTGGGACGAGGGCGAGGTGAAGTGAGGGAAGGGGGGAGGAAGCCGCAGGGGGAAGGTCGTCAGAGAAATTGCTGCTCGCGCGACCTCTTCCGCGCACCGAGAGGCACCGCCGGTGGGCTCGGGAGAGGCGCACAAGCAGCAGCACCGGCTCTACAAGACCCAGTTGTGTAAGCGCTTCGAAGGCACTTCACGGACTCATCCTTGACATGGGGGGAGGACGAAGAGGACGACAAGGTCGAGGAGGAGGACGAGGTGGAAACGCAATAGGAAAACGAGAAGGAGGACGGACCTGATGTGAAGGAGGGGGCCTGAGGGGTAGGTTTTGGGCCAGAGACGGTTGGAGGGAGCGAGTGACTGGGGGGCGGGCGGCGGAGGAGTATCAGCGGGAGGCGCAGCAGGAGGACAGGGAGGGAGGGGAGACGGAGAAGGAGGAGGAGGAGGAGGAAGTGGGACCTCTCCCCCTCCGCTCTCCCTCCTTCCCTCCTTCCTCCGTCACTCCCTCCTCCTCCTTCTCCTCCTCCTCCTCCTCCTCCTCCTCCTCCTCCTCCTCCTCCTCCTCCTCCTCCTCCTCCCCCCCCCCTCTCATAGCTATTTGGGGTCTGGCACTTGCTGGTCTCAGGGGCCACTGTGCCGCGCGTGCGGCCCCCCGTCCTCTTCTCCTCGCGCGCGGCCGCGTCTTTCTCCCCTCGCGTGCCATGGTGTTGAATCGGGCGTGTCCCTGTAGGGGGACATGCCCGACCTAACCATGGTACCTGCTGCGAGGCTGTCTCGGATCTTTGACCTGCTGGTCGCAGGGCGTCGGTGCAGCTTCAGGCTCAACACCTACCTCAACAAGCCTGTGCTGCATGGAGTGGGAATGCAAAAATTCGACGCTGGTCATCTTATCCAGCACTTGATGCAGTTCCTGGACAATTACACGATGGTGGATTATGGCCGTCGGAGATCATGCGGTGCATCCCACCGCACATTCGTCTTCAAGGTGCCGCCTGGAGCTGAGGTCCCTGATGCTGGTCTCGACGACGGCTTCGACCATGGAGCCCGAGATGATGATGACAGTGGAGGTGAGGATGGTGATGCTCGGCCTGATTGCCGTCGTGGCCGTGGGGACCCCTGGCACTGTGGTCAAGATCCGTGGGCTGCTGGTCTTCAGAGTGGCGGTGATGGTGGTGGCCTCAATGGGACCTTCTGGAGCACCTCCTGATCACAAGCGTGCGCGGCAGCATGCACGTCCTCGTGCGGATCGTGCTCATCGTTGTCCTGCTGCCGATGGTGAAGCTCCACGTGGCCACGGATTCAGTGGCGCAGTTGACTCCCTGGGATCCCCTATCCTCCACGTTTTCCGTTCAATCAAGGTGATGCTGCTTACTTATTGTCCGAGTGGCGTGCCGGGACAGATTGAAGAGGCGGTTCTCGAAGCACCGGAGGTGATTGCGGACGGTCTCCTACCAGAGCTCGGGCCTCCAGGCATCGCGGCGGGTGTCCTTGATGCTGCCGCGGCGTTGTTGAGCCTGCTGTGCCTCAGCCTGGAAATCGATATTGAGATCCAGAGCCCGAGGGGTTGCGTCCGAAGCCTTTTCCGTGGCGCGGGCCTTCTGCGGAATGATTGAAAGCGATTGCAGAGTCGTGCACGATGAGATGCAGGCGAGTCGTGGGACATTGCAGATTGAGTTGCTGCAGTGGCTCGCGGGAGAGTTCGGCCTCGCTCCTGATACAGCTCGGGTTGTCCTGCAGCTGCCTGCACATTTTCACAATACGGAATGTCACGAGATGTTCCTTTGTTTCTGTAGTGCGGTCGCTGTTCAACGCCAGGCTTGTCGTGGCACTGAGGTTCGTGAAGTGTTCGAGCGGCTTTGCAGTGATATCCGTGCGGTTCTTCCTCCACGTGCTTGCTGCGCTGACCATCACCAGGTGGCGGATCCCACCCAACATTCTGTACAGGGGGTCATTGGGAAGCCATTCCGCGCTGATCCTTCGACGGTGGTGCGGGAGATTGTCTGGCCTCCAGGGTATCCGATCGACGACGTTGATGAGTATTCAGAGTATGTGTGCACGTTATGGCTGGTTTACATTATTGTTTATTGGGCGGGATCTGCTCTTGAGGGCGAGTCTATCTTACGCACGGGGAAGTTTGTTGCTGTGGTCGACACCAACCCCAACATTTTGAGCCCTCCTACTGTTACTGTGGTGGAAGTAGTGCCAGCTATCGATTTACGTGAGTGCCGTGACCCATCTGGCACTGTTCAATGGGATGGGATGCTTACCGACATGGAGGTGATGGCTGGGCAGCACTGAGGAAGTCTGCGTCGGTGGGTACCTCCTGGTATTTGTCAAAAATGCCCTCCAACTTGCAGGGGTGGGAGTCTTTGATGTTTTTCAAACATGTTCCCCATCTGTCAATGGTGAGATCTTTTTTATCACCCCTGGTTATGAGAGGTTGACCTGGTAAGTGCCTTCAGGCCAGTTCAGTCGTCAACGGGGGTGGGGTTAGTGGTGGAACGTTCCCGCCGTTATTCATCGTTCCAGGGGGTCAATTTCGATTGGACCCCCCGTCATTTCTCCCAAGTGGGGGTCTGCCTGCGCGTGCTTTGTCAGTTGTCGCCTGTCCAACGAGAGTATCGTCACTACCACAATACCACAACCGCATTACTATTACAGTGCCAGGGTACGATTACGACTACAGTGTTACTCCAGTACGACAGTACTAGCGTGCTACTGCAAACCTTGAGTATTACAATGCTAGAGTTCTACTGTACCGCTTCTACAGCCGTCACTTCAGTATTACCAATACGATTACTACTTCTGCGACTATTACTCTACTGCTGCTATTATTATTATCATTACTGCTACTACTACTACTACTACTACTACTACTACTACTACTACTACTGCTACTACTCCTACTACTACTACTACTACTACTACTACTATACTACCACTACAACAACAACGACTACTACTACTACTACTACTACTACTGTTACTACTACTACTACTACTACTACTACTACTACTACTACCACTACTACTACTACTATTACTACGACTACTACTACTACTACTACTACTACTACTACCACTACTACTACTACTAGTACTACTACTACTACTACTACTACTAGGCTAGGCTAGACTAGACTAGACTAGACTAGACTAGCCTAGAGTACTTTCGTACGACTACAATATTGTTAGAATATTGCCTCGACTACAGTAATCTACGGCTACTACTACAGAATTATTTACCACTACTACTACTACTACTACTACTACTATACTACTACTACTACTACTACTACTACTACTACTACTACTACTACTACTACTACGACTGCTACTACTACCACAATTACTACGATCACTGTTACTAGTAGTAGTACTACTACTACTATTACTATCACTGCTACCACAATTTATGTTAGTAGTACTACGACTACTACTACTACTACTACTACTACTACTACTACTACTACGACTACTACTACTACTACGACTACCACTACTACTACTACTGCTACTGCTACTGCTACTGCTACTACTACTAACTACTTCTACTACTACTTACTACTACTAACGACTACTACTACTAATCTACTACTACTAACGACTACGAACTCGGTATAGTACTAGTACTAGTACTAGTACTACTACTGCTACTACTACTACTACTACTACTACTACTACTACTACTACTACTACGACGACGACGACGACGACGACGACGACGACGACGACGACGACGACGACGACGACGACTACTACTACTACAATACTACAGTACTAGAGTACCTACAATATTAGAGTAGTACCACTATAGTCAGAAAAAGAGTGTTACTATTAGCCAACAGTGGGCTCGTACATATCAGGACTGCACGACTGTTTACAATATTGTAGTAGTGCCAGTACGCAGTGCGATTGCACAAGCTTTCAAAGTTTCCCTTTGCCGGTGAAGTGGGGTGTAATGTTTGAAGGTTGTATGTGACTGTTCGTGAGACCCCCTTCGCACGGTGCCGTCGCAGTCGTTATATATATATATATATATATATGGCTCGGGGGGTGACTTAGTCTCGGCCAGATGTTTCATTCGTCACGGCTGGGGGGGTCGAGTGTTTCTCGAGTTCGTTTTGTTCTTCGTGCTTCCCGAGACCGGGGTCCCGCGATGCATTGCGGGGGGTGTCTCGGCTCCCTGCATTGGTGCGTGTCTCTTGATACGCTTCATCGATCTCATGTGCTGGCATTGGCAGGGGTCTTTGAATATATGTCAAAAGTGTTATAGTGCTGGCATTTGTGGGCGCCTCTTGATATATTGGAGACATGCCCTCCTACTTGAATTGGAGGGTGATTCTTGATATATCCAAACGTGACCACCTACCAGCACGAATGTGCGTTTAGTGTTTTGTTCCAAACATGGTATATTGCAGGAGTTGGTGGGGATCATGCTGTTTCCTACATGTTCTCCTACTGGCATTGGTGGGCGTCTCTAGGTGTACTTCTAACATGTTCGCATCCTGGCATTGGTAGGAGTCTCTTCAGGTACTCCAAGCATGTTTACCTACTGGAATTGGGGGGAGCCTCTAGATATTCCCAAACGTGCTCAGCTACTGAAGTTTGTGGGCGTCTGAACACGTATTCCCTGTTCTTCACGCTCGCGGCGGGACTGGCCCATACGGGCCCCCAGTTGCTAGTCGGAGCGGCGCCTCCGTTCAGCCCTGGACTAAGCTATTCCTCCCTCTCATCCCCCCTCCTCCCCCCCCCCCCTCCTCCTCTTCCTCCTCCTCTTCTTCCCCCTCCTCCTCCTCTTCCTCCTCCTCCTCCTCCTCCTCGTCCTCCTCCTCCTCCTTTCCTTCCTTCCTCCTCCTCCTCCTCCTCCTCTTGGCGGAGGGCAGGAGGTTTCGGAGGCCTAGAGGTTGGCACCAACACCAACATCGGCATTGTGCCTCCACCGAAGAAGGGTGATCCCGTTCTTGGCGGTGGTGGTAATATTCGGGCTTCCTGGGTGGCCGACATATTACCACCAACACCAAACCTAAAGAGGAGAGAGGGAGGGAAAAAAGAGGAGGGGGGAATGGGAAACGGGAGGATGGAAGGGAGGGTGTCTCCCCCTCTCATCGCTGACCCCTTCAGCCGTGCCCTCCGTACATACAGGGTGCAGAAGCGGTAAGACAGGATCTCGAGACGCGGCTGCTGAGGGGGGCAGCACTGAGGGAGGTCAGGATGAGTCCGTCGAGGCACGGGCTCCTGCCAGCTCGGAGAGGCGTGTCAGTTTGCCCACGGGCAGGCCGAGCTGCGGGGAGGGGCTGGCGGTCAGGCGGCACCAGCGGAAGGCGCGGGCGGGACGGGCGCCGTGGCCACCAGCCCCGACGAGCCAGGGGCGTACGTCGACATCCCAGGGGCGTACATCGATGTCGAGGAGGATCTCGCCGACGTGGCCTCGCCAAACGCCGACTGCGACGATGGGCCCAACAGGCCGCCGCCAGGAGATCTCGAGGAGCCCGGCGACGCCTCGGCCGGCGTCAGGCCCGCGAAGCGTCGCAGAGCATTGGGAAAGTACGCGGACGACGAGGACGAGGCCGCCTTGGGCCCCGGGGGCGGCGGAGCCAGGGCCAGCAGCTGGGCGCCGGCGAAGCGGGCGAAGGCGGCCGCCGCGCTGTGCAAGGGCTGGGTCCAGACAGGTGATTGCCAGTTCGGCGAGCGTTGCAAGTTCGCGCACGGGGAGGAGGAGCTGATGGCGGGGCCAGCGGCGACCTCGGGGCAGAATCACAGCGCGGAGGGGTGGGCCAGGAGGGTTCTGAGGCCAAGTGGCCGCCGGTGAGGGACCAGAGGGGAGCTTTGACCCTGTCCCCCCCGCCGCTCCACCTCTTCTGACCCGTCGCCCCGATGTGCGTCCGCCCCTCTCTTGATGGCGACAGGAAGGGGGCGTGGCGGAGCCTCAGGTGAGAAGGCGAGCGAGGTGGGGAAATGAGAAGGAGAAAATCTTCTCAAAAGGCGGCGGGACTTCTCAGAAGCCCTCGTGCCTTCTGAGAGGCTTTCTCTGTCTCCAGGGAACGCTGAGGAAACTTCTCAGAAGGCCGGGGGACTTCCGAGCCTTCTGAGAAGGCCTGCCGCTTCTCGCTTCCCCCCGGGCTCGCCGCCGACAGGTGAAGAAGGCGGAGCTGTGCAAGTATGTGTCGCAGGGGAAGACGTGCATGTTCGGTTCCGTCTGCTGGTACGCGCACACGGAGGAGGAGCTGCAGAGGGCCACCGAGGCCGCGGCGGCTGGCCGGGCCCCGCTTGCCCAGGAGTACGCGCCGGCAGCCTGCCCCGAGCGCAACTTGTACTACAAGACCCGGCCCTGCTTCGCGTTCAATGCTCGCGGGCGGTGCAAGCTAGGACCGGCGGCGAGCTCGGGGGGGAAGTGAGAAGGGGAAGGCCTTCTCAGAAGGCTCGGAAGTCCCTGGGCCTTCTAAGAAGCTCTCTAGAAGCCTGACCCGAAGACACCGCAAGCAGTTCTCAAAAGGCGCGAGGGCTTCTGAGAAGTCCCGCCGCCTTCGGAGAAGGCCTTCTCCTTCTCCCTTCTCACCACCCACCAAACCACCCCAACCCAACCCGAAGGCCTCAATTAGCCCTCCATTTCCAGTGTTGGGGGGTCGGGGTACACTGGGGAAAAAACAGAATGAACCGTACCCCCCCAAACCCGACATTCGGGTCTTCGGGTTAGCTTCGGGTGGTTTGCTAGGTAGTCACCGTCTCCCCCTTCGCTCGCCGACGGTAGGAGATCGCTGCCAGTATGCCCACGGAGACCACGAGCTGCGCCAGGCTCGGCAGGACGAGGGCGTGGAGCAGAAGGCCGAGCGGCACGCTTCCCAACCAAGCGTTCTTCCCGGCGTCGCGGTATGACGTGCTGGACGCTGCGCGCAAACCCACCAGCCCGTCGAGAAGCGATTTCCAGAGGAGTTGCCCTGCTCAGGGACGTGGAGGGGAATGCAGTGGAAGAGAGGGCTGGTAAGGCGTCATTCCCCAAGAGGGGGAGGATGGAGGAGGAGGAGGAGGAGGATGAGGAGGAGGAGGAGGAAGAGGAGGAGGAGGAGGAAGAGGAGGAGGAGGAGGAGGAGGAGGAGGGAGAGGAGGGAGAGGGGGAGGAGGGAGGAGGAAGGAGGAGGAATAGGCGGATGAGGAAGAGGAGGCGGAGGAAGATTTCAGGAGGAGGAGGAGACGGAGGAGGGCGAGCAGAAAGGCCAGAAGCCTATTGGATGCTCTTCGGATTTCTTCCGAGAGCTTCTTGGAGTCCTTATGGGGCGTCTTGGGGGTCTCTTGGCCGTCTCAGGGGCCTCTTGGGGCGTCTTGGGTGCTTCTGGGGAGCCTCTTGGGGTGTCTTGGGGGCCTTTTGGGGCTTCCTGGGCACCTCGCAGGGCCGTCTTTTGCACCCTTGAGAGCCTCGGGGGCCATCTTGGGGCCATCTTCGAGGAGATGGATCAAAGGAGGGGCCGTACGTGGTATATGATGCCCCCCCCCGGAGACCAACATGTGGCCAAAACCTCAGTAACCAAACAATGAGTGTTCCCAATCCTCCTGTGTTGGGTTCTAGTTTTGAATGCAGCGCTGCGGTCTTACACCCCTTCCTCCTCCTCCACTCCTTCTTTTTCCCAACCCTCCTGTGCTGGGTTCTCGTTTTGAATAGATCACTGTTGATCCCGCCTCCTCTCCTCTCCTCCCGCTCCTCCTCCCCCCGCCTCCTTCTGCCTCCTCCTGCGCTGCTCCCTGGGTGGCTGCGATCTGTGCAACTGTCGGCACTTCCGTGGGCTCCTGGGAGGCACGGCGGAGTACAGTGGAGACCCATGCCAAGAAACACCCTGCTTGCCTCCAGGGTGCCTTGGGTTTCTTAGTTTTCGATGGTTTTGCGAAGGACAGCGTGACGTTCCCACACCCAAGATCAATGGACGTCCTGGGGGTCTCAGGGTTGGGTTTCTTGTGGAAGGTTTCTCGTGGAGTGGCCTCCACTGTAGGGGAGTACCCGAGACCTCGCAGGTCCCTGGGTGGTTGCGAGTTGCGTAGTGGTCACCACTTTTGTGGGCTCCTGGGAGGCACGGCGGAGTAGGGGATTACGCGCACCCAGCCGATACCTCGCATCTCCTTGGGGTGGCTGCGAACGACGCAATTGACGCCATCTGCGTGGGCTCCCGGGAGGCACGGCGGAGTAGGGGAGTACGCGCACACAACCGATTCCTCGCATCTCCTTGGGGGGGGGGCTGCGAACTGCGCAACTATCGCACTTTTCGTGGGCTCTTGGGAGGCACGGCGGAGTAGGGGAGTACGCGGCACCACCGAGACCCCGCATCTCCTTGGGGTTCGCTGCGAATTGCGCAGGTGTCACACTTTCGTGAACTCCTGGGAAGCTTAGCAGAGTAGGGCGGCACCACCGAGACATCGCATCTCCTTGGGGGGCGCTGCGAATTGCGCAATTGTCGCCACTTTCGTGGGCTCCTTGGAGGTCAGCGGGGTCAGGGGCCATTCGGATCCAGCCGAGACCTCGCGGCCCCCTGGGAGGCTAAGAACTGCACAATTGTCGCCACCTTCGCGGGCTCCTGGGAGGCACGGCGGATATGAGGGCAGCGCTGATCCTGCATATCCGGCGTGTTCCTGTGCATGGAGCGTTCATGCAACTATTCTCCTCGCGTGGAGAAGTTTGGTACGTCTCGGGTAATTCCTCCATTCTTCTTCCCTCATCCTGCCGTCTGCTTCCTCTTGCTGCGCAGCTTCCTGAGGGGCTGCGATCTGTGCAACTGTCGCCATATTCTGAGCTCATGAGAGGCACGGCGGGGTAGGGGAGTACCTGAGACCTCGCAGCTCCCTGGGTGGTTGCGAATTGCGCAATCGTCGCCACTTTCGTGGGCTCCTGGGAGGCACGGCGGAGTAGCGGAGTACCCGAGACCTCGCAGCTCCTAGGGTGGTTGCGAACTGCGCCATTGCCGCCACCTTCGTGGGCTCCTGAGAGGCACGGCGGAGTAGCGGACCCAGCCGATACCTCGCAGCTCCTTGGGTGGCAGCGAACGGCTCAATTGTCGCCACTTTGGCGGGCTCCTGGGAGGCCCAGCGGACTCG